GCTTTCTAAATATATTAATGCATTCATAAGTGCATGCACACCTTACGAGGGATATAATCCAAGTGTCCCTCAAATTTTCTCTTAAAGGGTGCTTTGTCACTGCATAGTCAAAGTGAACTAGACTTTTAAATAGATATATATTATATTTTATTATTATTTTATTTATTTATTTTAAAAATAAAGACCCTTGAGGGCAGGCTGTTTTTATCTTATTTTATTATTTTTTTATATATTTTTTGTTGATTTCAGAGAGAGTGAGAGGGAGAAATGGAAACATCAATCACTGATCGGCTGCCTCCAGCTCGCCCCCCTACTGGGGACGGAGCCTGCAACCCAGGCACCTGCCCTGACCAAGAACTGAACAATAACCGGGTGTGATCTAGACTTTCCACGTCAAATGCAAGGTTGAACATGGTGGACCTGGCCAAGTACAGGGGATGTTCTTGGTCCAACCTCATTGTCAGCTCAAGACTTGGTGATGGAGGCATCTTGGTTTGTAGCCTTAGAAACTTAAGGTAAGTGAAACCCAAACACCTAAGTCCTCATGGAAAAAAGTGACAAGAATGGAAACTCGCGCCCACCCTCAGTCCCCATGCAGTATTCCCCACCGTTGTCCACACTCACATCCTTACTAATTAATGATACAAAGAGACTCAGGCCGCTTAGGTGACAGCTTACATTTTGCTCTCTAAGGTGTGGAGCCTCTGAGGCTGAGCACGTGGCCTGGTCAGTGCCAAAGCCTGGAAGTGGATTTCACACTCGGGCTACATTCAATGGACCAACTGTACTTTTGTTCTTAAATTATCGATTCTGCTTTGCTCATAAGTCATTTTGTAGAGAAGGTTGAAGAAGAAAGGTCAGCCATAGGATTCAAGTGCCTTTGGTCCTTAAATGAAAAAAATATATAACGTATCTCAAATACCCAACTTTATTTTATTGCTGCTGCATTGTTAACACAGTCTGCAGTTAGGATCAGAATTCCCAGGCCAATAGATTTTTTTTTTTAAACCATATACCACAGGAGTAAACCTTCAAAGGAGTGAAATCGAATCCTATATAGATTTCCATTTCTAAATACAGTATATTACAGAAGGTTACATATACCACCTCTGTTTACTTACAACTATAAAAAGATACATTAACTATATCAATTATAAATAACGTGCCATTTCATATTAAAGGTATTATTGTACAATGAAAGAGTAAGAACCCTCTAATGTATTACTAGCAAGGTTAGTGTCTATAATTACTTAAGATAAAATCCTGAAAATTCAGTGTATGAGTTAAATCCTGATTTAACAAGTCGCTGACAGTGTAAGGGATACGAGCTCGCTGATGCTGGGAGACGGTGAATGGTGTTCTGCATTTTTCTGGCAAGAATGGTAACCCCATTTCATACATGACTTTATACGTACACAGCATTTGACATAGACCTATGTTTTTTTTTTATTGCCCCCAATTTAATCCTCAAACATAATTTAATTCTCAAACATAAGCACCATCAGGAAAGCACTAGCTAGTAACAGTCAAAGAATCTGTTTTCGATTCATGAAAGAGCCCAATNTGTGACTTTATACGTACACAGCATTTGACATAGACCTATGTTTTTTTTTATTGCCCCCAATTTAATCCTCAAACATAATTTAATTCTCAAACATAAGCACCATCAGGAAAGCACTAGCTAGTAACAGTCAAAGAATCTGTTTTCGATTCATGAAAGAGCCCAATTCAGGTTGGGTTTGGCCTTTTTAAAGCGATACGGGAATACTTTCTGTTCTCCAAGTTCAAGCTTGTAATTGCACCAAGAGGAAATGAAAAACTCACAAGCTGTAGGCACGGAAATCAGGCCGCTTTAGGAGGAGCCCCAGTTCCTCCGTGGGGTTTGGGTGTTCCTTGTCGATTAATCATGCTTTTGGATATCAAGGTAGGGCCGGAATAAACCAGGGCTCCTATGACAGCAGCCGCTCCAGCTCGGTATGTTTTGCTCATTTAAACGGGGCGACCCGGCTGGAAGCCACAGGCCCACTGACCACGAATCCGAGTGGCAGAGACACCTGGTTTGTAAGAGCAAATGTTGGTTCTGGTTTGTGAGACGTGGGACTTAATCACACTCGGATTTGCCCTGCTGCTGGGTCAGGGAACTGGCTCCTTAGCGGTGACAGCGACACCAGCCATGCTCTCTGCCTAAGAAAGTGCCTTGGGTAAGGTACAGTGTGACATCGGTTTTTTTGATAAGCTCTTTGGGCCGGTGGCTCGGGCATATTCCAAAGGCAGTGCTGGTTTGAAGCTGAATCCCAAGGTCAATGTCAAGATGTCGTTGTCCTGGAGACCCACGCCCTTCACGCCCAAGACATTCGGGGACCTTCCACGGAACCTGCTTCCCCAGAGCTCCCCACGTTGCATCCTCGCAATACTGTGTGTTTTTTTTTTTAACTTAGTGAGTGCTGTCCCTTTCCAACTAGACGGTAGAGGGACTTGCTCTGTGGGTAGGGAACCCGGAGGGGCCCGCAGGCACAGGGCCCTGTTTCTAGAGCGTACAGGGAGGTTTCTCTAAATAGCATTTTTAAGCGACTGCTGGATACTTCAAATACCATTTCCTGTCGCCAACGCCCTGAGCCTCTTCACTGTCCCAGGGGACCTGGTGGAAAAGGGAAGCTGGACATGCCCAGCAGGGCCACCCCCGGGCAGAACTGCAATCTCTCCCCCCCCCAACGAACTGGGCAATGAAACAGGGCTGCGACAGGAAATTAAAGTGTGTTGCCATCCAGTAGATGGAAGGTCTCCAGAAGAAAAGTGGGGCCAGGAAGGTCAGCAATGTCGTTTTTCTCAGGCAGGTTTCACGGGCCACCTTCAGATGTCAGGGAAGAGCCCGCCTGGCCCTCAGGGGTTCTTGTCGTCCAGTTTGATGGTGACGGTTTTGACCTCGGTGTACTCGGACAGCGCATATTCGCCTCTGCGGTCACAGGAGAGAGGGGCATGTGAAGCGGGGGTGTCACTTGGCGGTCCCACGGGGACCGAGCTCTAAAGCTGGGTGCCCCAGGACCTGCCGGGCAGTTTGGAACTTACGCGAAAGGTCAAAATGCGACGATGTCATAAAATAATAGGCAGGGCTGTGCCGCCATCAGTAAGTTTAAGCAACTGGGTGTGTAATTTGAGTTTCAATATCAAGATTTTTGTGCGTGATGCTTTGAAAATATTCAGAAGGACTAGGGTTTGCCTTTAGAGAATAAAGGAAATTAAAAGAAGAAAGAAAGGAAGGAAGGAAGGAAGGAAGGAAGGAAGGAAGGAAGGAAGGAAGGAAGGAAGGAAAGAAAGAAAGAAAGAAAGAAAGAAAGAGCCCTGGCTGGGTTGCTCAGTGGTTAGAGCATTGGCCCTTGGACTCAAGGGTCCTGGGTTCGATTCTGCAGGGGGTTGGGGAGCAGGCGGGAGGCAACCAATCGATGTGTCTCTGTCGCATCCATGTCTCTCTCTATCTCCCTCTCCCTTCCACTCTGAAGAGCAAAGGAAGAAATATCCTCGGGTGAGGGGAACAAGAGGTGAATTCCTGGGCATGAAGCACACAGCAGAGGAAGGGACCCCGGCGAGAACGCTGGAGGGACAGGCCCTGGCGACAGCCCCCTCAGGGCCTAGCAGGCACCTGGCCCAGCAAAGGTGCTCAATCAACATTCGCCAAGCAAATCAATGAACAAAAGGAATAAATAACTGATGGGCGGGACTGAGGGTGGCAGAGGGTGGAAAGACCCCGGACTTGCCCGGGTCTCCCCCGTCGGGGGGCAGGAAGGGGGGGTTGTTACTGCGCTACTTTTATTGCAAAGCAAAACAAATTGCTGAGCCTAGCACCGGAGCAGGGGGAACTGCAGGCTTCATCTCAAGGCCGGCCCGGGATCGGGTCCCCAAGGCCCGTGGGTGGGCGGCAGGGAGGGGAAAACCGTGGAATCCCCCGGACGGCGATCCGGGGGGGAAGGGGCCGCTGTTGCAACACCAAGACACTCGTTAGAGGCAACTGCGGGCGGAACCTGGCTTTCGAGTCCGTGTCCAGGCTCCTCGTGAATTATATTCAAGGGCTTTATCAAAAGCCTTGGGAAAAATACGTGGTAAGGGCCACAAAAAGAGACAGTCAGAAAAGTCCCGATTGTGGCTCATCGGCGGGGGGGAGGGACACACACACACACGGACAGTGTCCAGTGAACACTCGCCAGGCCTTGGTCAGTGCCCAGCAGGGGGTGCTGAGGATTTGGGGTGAGGGAGTGGGAAGGGGACAGAGGTGACAGTAAGCCATAGCCGGTGTGGGTCAGTACACACTGGGAGTCAGATGGGTCCCGCGCCCCCTTCCAGCAGCTTCGACACCCAAAGATATCTGCTTTGGGGACTGATATTCGTGCTGTGGGAGGGCTGGGCTGTGCCTCTGGGGTTCTGCAGGTTCTGGGTCCCTGGTTGTCAGAACAGGACTGGGTGACGGCAGCCAGTCAGAGACCAATGACCGTGTTTGCCCAACGGGCAGGACAGGAAGGAACCGGGAAGGAGTCACAGTGGGTCTGACGGGACCACGGAGGCCCAGTGGGAGATGTCACATCAGACCCCGAAAGAGGCCCAGGGAAGGAGCCGGAGTCATCCACAGTCTGTCCCCAGGCCTCTGCTGGTGACAGACAGGGCCAGGGCCCGACCTGGGAGAGAGCCCGTCCCCCTTGCTGAGGGCCAGGGGGGCTGTGTGTGTGTAATTACATCCTCCATGCGGCAAAAAGTCCACTTTTTTGGCCTATGTACCCATCCAGTGAGTATCCACTGAACGTCCCCACGTGTGACAGGTGCTTTGGGGACACATAAGCCGAGGCTGGAGGGGGAAACGCAGGAGGGGGAGACCGGGAGGGGGAGAGAGCAGGGGAGGGATCCAGCCCAGCCCCGAGGGGGAGGCCCGTCAGCGCCTGTGCCGTGGCTGGGCCACCACCCGGGAACCAGCACATTCCCCGTCACCCTGCCAGCAGGAATAGGGACAGAAACACTTACAGTTCTCTGCCATTTCCCGACATTTTAAAGCCACCAAACGGCGCCTGTGCGTAGATGGCATTGTAGCAGTTGATCCTAGAGAGGGAATGAGAAGATGCTCACGGTTACCTGCGGGGGGACCCACCTGGCTTTCTTTTTTTAAATAGGTTTTTACTGATTTTTTTTTTTTTTTAGAGAGAGAGGGAGAGGGTCAGAGAGATAGGAACATGGATCGGCTGCCTCCTGCATGCCCCCTGCAACTCGGGAATGTGCCCTGCCCGGGAATCGAACCGGTGACCTCTTGGCTCAGCCACTGAGCCACACCGGCCAGGGCCCGGCTCTGAGTATGAATAATGGAAACGGTGTGTTTTCCACATCTGCCTTTTCATCCTTCCCAGCAGAAAATGACATTTGAATATTCCTAGTCTAAAGCTTTCCACTTTGTAGGAAGGGAATGACAGGGCGAGGAGAATTATGGCGCAGAGGAGTCAAAATGGGCTTTGAAATGGGACAGATCTGATCTCAAAGTCCTGCTGCTTCTTGCCCGTGGGATTCAGGGCTTATGCCTCAGCCTCTCTGAACTCCAGCCCATCTTTACCACCTAAAATTCTCTTCAAAATGTGTATAACATGATCTGTAGAATTATCGGGGAAGTAGGGATTTTCACGCCCACTTTTCACACTAGCATGAGCTGTTCTTAGAATGAGAGTATGAAATAAAACCAGAGGGGGCGACATCCAAGGGGCAGCACACCCGGTGGTCAAGGTCACAGGCACCTGAGCCGCACGGCAGGCCCTGAGCGCCGCTCCGCTGTGCGCTGGCTGTGTGACCCCGGGCAGGTCACTCCGCCTCTCTGTGCCTACATTTCCTCATGTATACAATGGAGCCAATAACGGGGCCTATCTCAGACGGTGGTCTCGAGGATCCAGCAAAGCAAAGGCAGAGCCGGGCCCATGATATGTCACTAGAAGCTCTCTGTTAACCGATGAGTCCTGAAACTAGGAGGCCAGCCACTGGGGACACTGGACAATACCCGCCCGCTCCTCACCAGACAGTGCCCGACTCCAAGGCGGAGGCGACCTTCAGGGCTTTGTCCAGGTTTTTCGTGAACACGGCCGCTGTGAGCCCATATTCCAGGCTGTTGGCCCTCTCGATCACTTCTTCGATAGTTTTGAACTTCAGGATCGGCTGCACCGGCCCAAAAATCTACAATCGGTTGCAAGAATGGTGGTGAGAGGCGTGTTCTGGTAAAACGCACGCACCCCAAGCAGGTTGCACCCTGGGTGTGCAAAAAAACCACGACTGGACAGGAAAGCACGCCCCGGGGCCTCCTTAGCTACGTGACGGCTGCAATCTCAAGGGAAGGGTTAAGATCAGACAGAAATAAGAAATCACAACCCAAAGCGTATATTGGGTCTCAGATCTCTCATTGTCATCGGGGTTTCTCTGAATGAACACTTGTCGTTTAACTTCAGTCTGGGACACTGAAGGCAGCTCTGGGCCCTAAGTCCACGATTCGTGGCGAAACACAGGTTGGCAGTGGCCTCCCACCCCAAGACGCGTTAGACGACTGAAGGGGACTGTAGTTCTCTAGAGACCATGAGTGGTGAGTGGAAAGGGGGACTTGGGACAGACTCTGCACGCTCTGTACAGGGATCCAGAGGTGGGGGGGCAAGGTGGCTTTCCTAAGGACCCCAAAAGAGAGGGAAAAAGACACACCAGAGAGAAAACCGCTCCCTTCACAAGACATCTGGGTCACTTAGGCCCAGAGTAGAGCCCCATGTAAAAGGCCCAGCGCTCCCTCCCCGCCAGCTCGGCACTAGGCCCCACGGGCTGTGGCCTTTCCCGCAGCCCCAGTACCTCCTCTTTGGCAATCCGCATGGTGTCGGTGACTTCCGAGAAGACGGTGGGCTTGATGAAGAGCCCCCTGTCTTCCATGGCCGAGCCCCCACACTCCAGCTTGGCTCCTTCCTTCCTCCCGCTCTCGATCAGAGCGAGGATTTTGTCGAACTGGTTTTGGTCAATCTGCAAAACACGACAGGAAGGAAAGCCCGGCTGCCTTCCGGGAGGTGGTGGCCTCTTTCCCTGGCCGGTGGCCTTCAGCAGGGTCAGCTGTCTTAGCCCTAAATGTTCTCGCCAAGTCATAATTCACGGAGCAAGTGTGCTTCGGATGCAATTATCCCTGGATGTACAAGTTGAGGCTCTTTGGAGCAGGAGAGAGCTGGGGACACAGGCTCGGCTTATCCTCACCAGGTGTGGGGGTTGTTCACACATCTGACCCCTCCATGCTATTAAGCAAATTCGTGAGTCAAACGAGACCTGGCCAGTGTGGCTCAGTGGTTGAGTGTCAACCTAGGAACCAGGAGGTCACGGTTTGATTCCCGGTCAGGGCATGTACCCTCCGGGTTTTGGGCTCATTCCTCAGTAGGAGGTGTTCAGGAGGCAGCCGATCAATGGTGTTTCTCTCTCATTGACGTTTCTCTCTCTCTATCCCTCTCTTTTCCTCCCTCTCTAAAAATCAATAAAAACACATTTAAAAAAAAAAAAAAGACCTGAAGTGGTCTTATTATTTGCTCTCCACACTTTCCACATTCTGCTAGGATTGCCAGATGTAGCAGAGAAAACTACGGGACATCCAGTTAAATTTGAATTTCTGAGGCTCAAGGTGAAGCGAGGGGGCTGCCCCTTGGTTGGCGGGGAACCAGCTCAGCAGAAAGGCTCCGCTGTCTGGCGCCTCATCCAGGGGTCTCCAGGGCAGAGTGTGCCCTGTGCCACCAGCCTAATGCCCAGCTTGTGGGCAAGGTACCCAACCAGCTAGCAAAGAGCACCCCTTTAGGAGACCGTCTCAAGGTGGGGGTGCTCTCCCGGCCCCTACTGGCCCTTTTCCCCCAATCCATGGGAGGCCTGTTCTTGACCATGACCCTGCTGCTAGTTACTCTCCTCCTTGGGAGACATAGAGCTTTGATAGGTTTGCTATAGCTGAGATTTTTAGATAGAAAATGTGGTTGCATTTAAACAACTTTAAAAAAAATAAGCAAACCCAATGGTGCATTTGAACGACTGTCTGTCACCAAGGAACAGATTGGCCGCATTACATGGATGGACATAAACCACATGTGCCACGTGACCAGTCCTCTCCCGAAAGGGTGGATCACGTGCTGAAAGACCAAGTTGGATCCATACCTCACACCTTATACCAGGCTAAATTCCAAGCAGATCAAAAACTTAACCATGAGAAATGAAAGCGTAAAAGGTTTCAAATGCTCTCCCATGGGAGAAATGCCTCCGTCAGCTTGGAGAGCCAATGGCTTGAAATCCAGAAGCCAAAAAAAAAAAAAAAAAAAACCACAAAAAAATACTGATAAACTTGAGTATGTTAAAAAAAAAAAAAAGAGCCCCAACAACAACATCATGAGCAAAGCCAAAGGGCAAAACGAACTGGAAAAAACTGACAAGTCGTATCATAGAAACAGAGCCAATCTCTCGAGTACGTGAAGAATTCAGCAGCAAACTACACATACACAGCTGACAGAAAAGGAAACACCAACAGCTTCTGAACACACGATAAGATGTTCTACCTTACTCATTAGAAGAGATACATGCATCTTAACGCCCAACGAGATCCCGCTTTTAGCTATCAGATGGGCGGAAATCCAAATTCTCTGAGTGAGGCTGGAGAAGCTCCTAGGAGGCCGGTAGGAGCAGGAGCTGACTCATCTCTAGGAAGGTGAGTTGGCAAGGCCGGCACAAATGACAAATGGGCTCTCCCCCGGCAACCCCACTTGGTGGCATTGGGCGTGACCACACCCACCCGCCCACAGGTTCATGGGAACCTGTCGCCTGAATCCTGGGGGATTCGTACAGCAGAGCTCTACGTACATATGACAAAGGACAAGGCAGGTGCCCGTGGACTGGTAGGGAATGCTCTTCAGGTTTCTTGTTAGGGGACAAAAATCTGAGGTGCAAAGCTGGAGAGATACCACAGTTATCTTTTGGGTAGAGACAGAGGGAATGGGATCACATATTCGTAGGTGCTTGTATACACCTAAAGGAATCACTGAGCGCCCTGGCCAGTGTTCTTGGTGCTTAGAGCATCAGCCCTCGAACCTAAGGGTCGAAGGTTCGATTCCCAGCCCCGGTTGGGGTGGGTGCGGGAGGCAACCAATCGCTGTGTCTCTCTCACATCAATGTTTCTCTCTCTCTCTCTCTCTCTCTCTCTCTCTCTCTCACCACCTCCTCCCTCCCTTCCACTCTCTTTAAAAAAATCAATGAAAAAATATCCTAGGGTGAGAGTTCACAACAAAAAAAGAAATTATAGAGGGGCATATAAGAAACTAAGAACATGGGGTGCCATGGAGGGACGGGTAAGAACCAGGCCTAGGAATAGCCTTTATATGTGTTTTGGGTTTTGGCCCCTTGTGTATGGGTTTCCACTTAAAAAAGTAATTCAAGCAACTGCCACATTAACAACGAAAGGTTTTCTCAACTTCTCTCTGGGTCAGCAGAGTCTGGGGTTAAAAATTGCAGCTGTGCCCTGGCCGGTGTGGCTCAGTTGGTTGGAGCTTCGTCCAGTATATCAAAAGGTTATAGGTTCGATTCCCAGTCAGGGCACACTCCCAGGTTGTGGGTTCGATCCCCGGGTCAGGGTGCTTATGGGAGGCAACTGATGGATGTTTCTCCCTCCTATTGCTCTTTCTCACTCTCCCCCTTCCTCTCTAAAAATCAATAAAAAACATCATCGGTTGAAGATTAAAAAAAAAAAAAAAAAAAAAAGAGAGACAGCTTTCCTCCCCTGCTCTCGTATTAAAAGGAGTCTCTACCTACACTGGCTTCCCTTCTAAAAAGAAAATTTTAAAAGTTGCAGGTGTGATGCTCACCTGCTCCTGGGAGGCCACAGCTTCACCAAACTGTAGCTCTGTCAGGCCAGGCCGCAGGCCACACGGCCGGCTGTCCTGCAGGCGGTCCCGGTCCCCATGCAAACCCTACACATCCCGACTCCTCTCTCCCTGGCCGGCCCATGTGAGCACCTTGTTTAAATCTAATAACCTCCGTGAGATGTCAGCGAGTGCCTCGCAGGGCAGGACCGAGGGCCTGCAGAAGCCAAGGGGACAGCCGGGCACAGCCCTGGGACAGAGAAATCCGCCCCGGAGGAAGGATCGGTCAAAGACTGCACTCAGCCCCCGAGGGGGGGACCCGATCGGCCCCATCAGGTGGCCTGTGCGACGTTTCCGCCTCGTGGCTCAGTGACTTGGAGCCTTCGGGCGAGTGGGTTGCCTGCAGTGAGCAGGGATCTAGGTCAGCGAGCTGTTTTACAGGCACGAAACACACCGGACTATTTAGACAGCTGGAAGTCCTTCCAGAGCAAAATCTTATTACCGTAGATGAAAAAGCACTTTGGGAGAGAAAAAAAAAAAAAAAAATCAAAAAATCCAGCAGCATCCTAAAATAACACGCCGAGGTCGGCCGGCTTAAGCGAGCTTTCGAGCAGGCCTTTCGGCAGCGGCCTCCAAAGCTAACGAAGTCGCCACCCATTCTGCTCGGATCTGCTCCCTTGGAAGAGCTTTCGGTCTCTGGCTTCACAAGTCAAGCTCGGGGCCTTGGAAAGAGGCTTACAAATAATGAGGGGGTAAGAGAGTTTCCTTCAGCACAGGATCAGCCCGCATAGTTTCCCATGGCCCCTGGATCAGCTTGAAAATCACTCAGTGACTTGTGGCCGTTTGGATTCCGATCCGAAACCAAGCCAAGGCCCCTAGACAACCTCTGTGTCACTGGCAGGATGGGGAATGTTGGCCACAAGCAGAGATGCTGCTCTCCACCAGGGTCCCGTGGCATCAGAGCCACGAGCGTGTGGGCTGGGGCGCGGGGAGGGTGGGCGCTGAGGTCAGAAGGCCCCTCTGCCTCCTCTGTCCCCAGCCAGAGCATCCCCACAGGTCCAGCAAGACCTGAATGAAATGGCCTGAAGTCCTGCGCGGCCATTCAGGCCTGCCTAGGTCGGGGAGCCTGCCATTTAGTCCTGTATTAGTCCTGGCTGGNTTGAAATGGCCTGAAGTTCTGCACGGCCATTCAGGCCTGCCTAGGTCGGGGAGCCTGCCATTTAGTCCTGTATTAGTCCTGGCTGGTGTGGCTCAGTGGTTAGAGCACTGGCTCACACACCAAAGGGTTGTGGATTCGATTTCGGGTCAAGGGCACGTACCTGGGTTGCAGGTTTGATCCCAGGCCCTGGTTGGGGCACATGGGAGAGGCAACCAATCAATGGATCTCTCTCACATCGATGTTTCTCTCTCTCTCTCCCCCTACCCCTTCCACTCTCTCTAAAAATCAATGGAAAAAAATCTCCTCAGATAGGATTAACAAAAAACATTTAAAAAATAAAAACTTGTTCAGCGCCTTGACATTTTCCACACAGTCATTGATTACTCCCATTTTCCAGTCGAGGAAACTGAGGTTTGGAGGGAGCTTGTGACTTTCCTAAGGCCCCAGAGCCAAACGCGTGCCCAGATCCGCAGCCTCCCGGGCAAACACACACGGTGCCCATGCGGTGGGTGGGTGGCCGGCGGGTGAGTCCCGACACGTGATTTAAAACTTCACGGCCGGGGCAGGACTTTGGCTCCAAGCGATGTGGGTCGCAGCAGAGCTCCATTTCAATAATGCATGGGCTGGTCGGGCTGCCCTCTTTTAAATATTTATCCATGGGCTGGGCTGCGTAATTAGTAAGAAAGTGATACAGGATGTGCCCTTTTAAAGAGGTTATAAAACCTCATGGTTATGATCATTTCCATCCTGTCCTTGGCTTCTCAAGCCAGGCCCACACCCCTGGGCTCTTCGCACTGGGAGTTTGTGGCTCCTGAGGCTCAGTCACCTTGTCCTATAACGCACATGGGCTTGAGGGCATCTGGGCTGAGACCACCAGCTCCGGGCACTGCCCCGCCTGCACTCTGCAGCCAGGGTGACAAACCCTCTTCTGCAGGGAGGCCAGCCAGGTAAGAGCCTCTGCCTGAGGCTCTCTCCTGGGCACTCTGGTGGCTCAGAGAAGGGGCAGGCCTCTGGCTAGAGGGGCAGGCCCATGGCCTCATGGACTGAGAACACCTCCTTCCTGGCAAGGCCCCGAGTTTGGCATTATTTGCTGCAAACAGCAAGCCTTGGTGTGTCCAGCCCGTTGCAAACCCCACTGGTGGAATTGGACTGTTGGTCAACGTGTTAACAAAAGCCTCACGTGGGAAGGCAAGTCAGCCCCCCTCAGGCTTCGGGTGAGACCCTGAGTGCAGGGGGGCCAGGCCAGTGTTAGAGGGGCTGCCTGGCTCAGCTCCCGAAGTGCACCGCGGGGGCCCACACGTGGGTAGGTTACCTGGGGCCCCTGCTCCGTCCTGGCGTCGAAGGGGTCCCCGACGGGCCGCTTCTTGGCGTACTCCACGCTCCTCCTGACAAACTCGGCGTAGACTTGCTCTTCCACGAACACCCTGGAGGCGGCCGTGCAGCACTGGCCTTGGTTGAAAAACACTCCCTGATGGGCGCACTCCACTGCCAAGTCCACTGGAGGGAGGCGGGGGCCGGAGGAAGCGATTAAGTCGTTAGGGCAGGACTGGCCCCAGCTGCAGCTCGAATTGCCACGCAAGAAAACAGGCCCGGGGACTTGAGAAACCAACCTCGTTCTCAGCGTTTCCCAAACGCAGAGGATGGGAAAAGGGACTTTTGGATCCATCGGCCGAGTTTGGGGTTGAAGAGGTCCTGACAGGACTTCTCAGTGCGTTTACTATGCTCATAAGCACAGAGAGCTGTGCCAGTCCCCATTTTGCTTGCTCACGGACCCCTCCCTTTTTTGCTAAACATTGACGACAAGAACCTTTAAAGGAGCCCAGATTTTCCACCTTGTGTGGCCGAAGGGTCTTATGAAATAATATGACAGCCTGTATGACTTGGAAGAGTTAAAAAAAGAGAGAGACAGCGTGGATTCTGCCTGACAAGGTCGGGATCGGAATGGCAGAGCTGGCATTGAATTATAACCGGGTACTGCCCCCGAGCTAGAGGGTGCTTGGTAAGGAAGATCTTTGGGGACCTGCTTAATCGATATGAATGAAAAAGTGGGGTATCATTTATGTTCAGAAGGGTGTCTAGTGCTCCCCTGATTTTTCAGCACCCCCCCCACCATCACATCCACTGTTTGCTTAAGAAATTGGAGATCAGAAGCAAGGAGGCTCTGGACATGGGCAGGGGATCCACCCACATCCAGCGCTGCTCTTGGGGTACCCCTGAGGAATGCCGCCCTTGGCTTTGAGAAGCGGGCCGCCGCTAACCGGCTTCTGTTTAAGCCGCCGTGTAGCAGGATCACACCCTAAGGCTCTTGCCCCTCCCTGCGCCCCCCAGTTTTCTTGCCCACTTCAAAATGCCCTCCCCCCGAAAGAACTCATTCATTTCCCGCCGGGAGCCGGGTGGTGGCTGCCAGGGCAGGGGACGGAGGCATGTTATCGTTGATACCATGCCTGGGATGCCAGTTACGTCAGGACTTAATTTTGTGGCCTGGCACTGCCCACAGGAACAGGAGGTGGCTAGGGAGGGTGTTTGTGACCCTTGTCAGACCAACCCTCCAACAGAAGGAGCCTTGGGTTTTAGTTTTAGTTGTAGTTTTCTTCCCTGGGGGGAAAAGGAGCTGAGCTGAGGGGTAGATGGGGTACCCAGATACGGAGGCACTCAGCCAAGCACGGGTCCTGGCTCTTTAGGCCTGGGGTATAGAGCTCTGAACATGGGTCACAGTAGGGCCACACCCATGTGGCTCCAGAAACCATTAGCAACGCTGGTGATGCTTCCAGAAGGGAGCAACCCACTCAGGCCGAAAATAAGCAGCCCATTTCCACAGTCTTCTCTCCCGGGAAGCCAGCTCTGAGGCGAGGAAATGCTATCAGTCATTTACACTTTAGAGAGAAATGGCACCGGGGCCATTTTTCTCCGGGATAGTTGCAATTCCAGCCTTATCTGAGTGTGGAATGGAAGGCTTTGTTCCTCAAGGAAGGAATTTCTGGCACCAGCGGGCAGGTGGGGGAGGCTATTCTTTGCAAGATATAAACATGACGCTAAGCTGCCGGGGAGTGGCGGTGGAGGCGGACCGTACCCAGACCAGGGGGTATTTTTAAGGGTCAGCTGCCACTGTCCTCCTCTGATTTGTCAGGCCTGAGACAAAGAAGGAAGAAACATTTCAAGTATTTGGAGAGTCTGAAAGTGCTACAGAAATACTGGCTTGGAGGAGGGAATGATTAATGCCTGTGAGTGGGGTGACCTGCCCTGTGTCTGCTTCTCTTGCCCCCCCACTTCCCACTCAGGGGCTCTGGAGATCAAACCGACCTTGTCCTTCCGGCTGCTCCAGAGCGATGGGAACATGAACTTAACCCCGAAGGGCAGGATCAGGCAGCCCCCTGGTGACCACATAGACACGGCCCCCTCCAGTGGGCCTTCCCTCCTCTATTTATGGTGACCCACGGCGGAGAAGCACCCCCCCCGTGTGTGCACCTGTGTGTTTCACTTGGATCTGAATTTGCTCAAGGAAGCCCGGGGAGACTTCTGAACCCCCTAAAGCCCAGCGGGGGGAGACTCACGGTCAGCGTCGGCGCACACAATACAGGGGTTCTTCCCCCCGAGCTCCAGCGTCACCCTCTTCAGGTTGCTCCGAGAAGCGGCTTCTTTAACCAGCTTTCCAACCTGCAGGGTAAAAAAACCACAACAGGCCGGAGTCAACCTTGGACTTGGCCAGATGTGGCCCAATGTCTGTCACCCTCCCTTGGCCTCGCCCAGCACCTTGACACCTTGGCATTGCTGGAACCCTTGGCCTGAGCTGCCCACTTACTTACGGGGTGCAGTGGGAGCCCCAGCAAGTCGCCCACGGCCACACAGCTGGCTAGGCCAAGAGCCGGCCACCCCCCTGTCCTGGTGGCCACCCCTCCTGGGAGCAGACTGGCCCAGGAGGTCGGAGACAGGGCTCCAGGGGACGCGGGGGCAGCTCCTCTATCCCTCGCTAGTAAGGGGGTCCTTCTGTTGGGCCCTCTGGTATAAGCTGAGGGAGCCTCTGAGAATTGGGGAGTCGGGGAGGCTGCCCTTCAGGATAACTAGTCAGTTCTGTGGAAACGCGCTGGGACTGGGGGTCCCCGGGGCGGGGAGAATCCGTGCGCTGCGGAGCACAGGGGCCACTCGGCAAACGCGACGCTCAACCTCCCTAACGGTCCCTATCGTCTCACGCGCCCCTAGAGGGTAGGTTTGGCCCAGGACACCTTGATGACTTATGTTGGGTGACAAGTAAAGCCAGGTGCCATGACCTCAGAGCTGGCAGACTCTCAGAGACCAGTGCGCACATGGGGGGCCTAGGCCAGGCAGCTAGCAAGAGGCAGGGCTGGGCTCCTCCAGGGCTGAGGCTGTTCCCCCAAACTAGGTGCGAGTGTGTTTTAAAAATTGGCCAGCCCGGCCAGGCGTGGCTCAGCGGTTGAGCGTCGACCTAGGATCCAGGCGATCGGGGTTCGATTCCTGGTCAGGGCACATGCCTGGGTTGTGGGCTCGATCAATGACTCTCTCATCATGGATGTTTCTATCTCTCTCTCCCTCTCCTGTCCTCTCTCTGAAATCAATAAAGATATATTTTTAAAAAAAAATTAAAAAAAAATTGGCCAGCTCCCGCCCTGGGCAGCGTGGCTCAGAGGTTAGAGTGTCAGCCCAGGCGCCGCAGGGCCGCTGGTTCGATTCCTGCTCAAGGGCACGCGCCTGGGATGCAGGTTCCATCCGGTCAGGACGCGTGTGTGGGGGGCAAGCAATCGACCTCACATGGATGTTTCTCTCTTTCTTATTCCCCCTCCCCCTTCTTTCCACTCTCTCTAAAAGCCAATAGGGAAAAAAATATCCTCGGGTGAAGATTCACGAAAACAAAAACGAACAAACAACAGCAAAAAGCTGTCCGAGGTCTGAAATAGGTCCACAGTGACAATGGCTGTCCCCAGGTAGACAGCAGAAGCCACACGTGCCTGCCACGGGCTGATGAGTCCTTGGTGGGGTTGGGGGGTGCTCTTGCAGCTGGACACAGCAGGGGGACCCAGGGCGAGAAAGCCACGGAGGCCAGGTTCTTGCCCATGACATTGGCTGCCCAGTGAGGGCACCGCCTGGCTGCACCCATGAGCAGGCCTAAGGTTGCCAAAAAAGGCCAGGGCCTCTCTGCAGAGAAGCCGGGCAGGGACAGGGACAGGGACAGGGACAGGGACAGGGCTGGTTTTGCTGTTGGGTGAAGAGACTGAGAAGACTTGGGGGCAGCTGGAGGGCAGGAGCCACACCCGGAGCCACACCCGGCACTTCTCTGTCCCTCCATTTCTGGTCGGCCTGCTGAGCCCTGCTGGCTGTCCCCTGTTTTCATGCCACACAGGGACCGGATTCCTTTTTTTAAATACAGAGGAAGTGCTTTCTCATTAAAAATAATTCCACATACAGATGCATGTAAATAAAAGGGGCAATGTTTTCATCTCCATTTGTCCCAGGACCGGCTCAGTAAGAATTTCTGGGGCATCCTTGGCAGACAACTTCTACTTCTCCCCACACACACTTTGACTAATGGGATCGTGTTGGTTTTTCATGTTTCAACACTAGATCTGGATGGCTTTCCTGTTCTGATGGCTCTAAACACTGCAGAGAAGAAATATACTAGAAAAAACAAATGCTCCTGAGATTAGTGCTCCGAGCAGCTGGAATTTCTAAATCAAAAGTTTACACTTTCAAATTAGGGCCAGCGAGTGCCTGCTTTCCCCTAGCCTCGTTCACACCAGACTTCAATTTTTCCCAATCCGATGGACCAAAAAGGAAAAGAGCAATTTTCATTTGAATTGCATGTCCCCGGTTACCCATAAACTAGGCCAAACTTATTGGACATTCAGTATTTCTCTCCTCTGAGCTGCCCACTTGGCCACCATTCAGTTGTCTTTTTTATTATTTATTTTTAGGAGCTCTTTACATATTACGGGCATTAACCCTTAGAGAGCTGTACAAATTATGACTGTCTTTGTCCCAGCTTGTTATTTACCTTTTAACATGAACTACTACATTGTTTGTCGTGTGGATGTTTTACATTTTTATTTTATCTTATCTATCAAAGGCTTCTGGGTCCTATTCAGTATTTATTTAGTTTGGAAACTGGCCCAGGGACTTTTGAAAACGGATCGTTACATACTAAAACGCTGCCAGCTTTCGAAGGAACGCAAGGCCGACGTTAGCCTCTAGAAAAGAAAAGGTCACAGGTCTCAAGTGGCCCGCCGCTAGCCAGGGAGGGGGTTACCTCTGTGGACCCGGTGAAGGCGATCTTGCCGATCTGAGGGTGGGAAGAGATTGCTGCGCCCACGGTGGGCCCGAATCCTGGCACGATGTTCACCACGCCCGGAGGGAACCCAGCCTAGGAGGAAAGCGAGGCGGCATTCAAGTAAGAGGAGGGCCAGGCCTGGCCGGGGTGGCTCAGGAGTGACAGTGTCAGCCCTAACTACTTGCACTGAAGGGTCGCAGGTTGGATCCCTGGCCCCCAGTCGGGGCTCATGTGGGAGGCAACCAATCGATGTGTCTCTCTCACAGGGATTTTTTTTCTCTCTCTCTCTCCCCCTCCCTCCCTCCTGCCACTCTCTCTAAAAAAAAAGCAATGGAAAAAATATCCTTGCATGATTAAAAATAAAAATAAAAATAAAAGAAGGGACCAGTGTCCACCATGGTCCCATGCTTGGGCTGACAGCCATGGCTAAGTGATGTCTCCAAGCAGAGTGGTGCCCCCACTTGGAAGTCTGGGCTCAGGTCACCCATCTACCCTGGGACTCAAACCCAGTCGGCCAGGGTGCAGGCTGGGCCAGGGTGAGGCGCACGGCCCTCCTTCTGGGTGGCTCTTTTTACCCTAAAAAGGCCTCTGAGCAAAAAGAGGGGTGACCCTTCATAGCACAGCACTATTCACTGTGTGTGTGTGTTGGGACATAGGGGCACCTTGGTCACAACCCCAAGGGCCAGAGCTACCTGCAAAATACCCTTCCCCAGCTTGAATTTTCATTTTTAAAAAAATATGTATTTATTGATTTTTTAGAGAGAGGGGGGAAGGGAGAGGGAGAGAGAGAGGGAAACGTGGATGCGAGTGAGAAACAGCGATCGGGTGCCTGCTGCATTCCCAGGGCTGGGGCCTGAGCCCATAACCCGGGCATGTGCTCCAAATGGGAATCGATCCGGTGACCGGATCGCGGGAAGGCACTCAACCCACTGAGCCACACTAGCCAGGGCAGGTTTTCATTTCTTAAACCTGCCCCATTCATGTTCCAAATGGCAAGACAATGCCACCCCTTCCAAGTCCTCGCTTGCTGAACCTGGGCCACACAGGGGCTGGCCCTTCCTGCAGGGGGGGCTGTCATTTCTCCCACGCCCACACCTCCCGCTTTGCACACTCGAGGCCCCTTGAATGACCAAGAACCTCACCAATGAACAGCGGGGATGCGCTTCCACGTGCCCAGGGGCTCACCGACGACCCACTATGTCAGAGGCAAGATTTTCCGACATGGTGCTCAAGGCTTTAGTTTTTCTAGGCCCTGCCTTTTAACCGGTGGGATTTTAGGACCTCAAAATCTCATTAACAGGATTTTACCGTGTCCTACACCCCTAGTCCCAGGAAAGGGGGAAATTGGCCAGTTACCGGCTGTGCCAACCAACCTGCCATCTAAGCGATAAAGGTCGTGCGTCCTGATCCTATGGCAGAAGTGACACGAATGGGCCTTCTCTCCCATCTCTCTCTCCTTTGTGTTTCTGCCTTTAAGTCTTTGCGACATAGAAGCTGGGGACACAGTGACTGAACCACATTGCCCAGTGTGTCCGGAGGGGGGCGTCCCTTGGGGTCACTTGCCCTGGTGGCTGCCCAGGGCACTATGACCACCCGCCCGAGGGCAGGGTGCTGGTGAGCCTGGCTGGGCAACAGCCACCTATTGGAGCTGCCAAGGTGACCCCTCCAAGGGAAGCTGACCATTTTGTACCCCACAAATGCAAGGCCCAAAGAACCTCCGAAAATCCGGTTCCTTCCCAAGTGACTCCCCTGCAGATTCTCTGCAGAAAACACTGGGTCCTAAAGTAGGTCTGAGCCCATAATGAGAATTAAGTCTCCTCGTGCGATCAGGGGGAGGGGCGGTTCCTTCTGGCTCAGGGACCACGGGCAGGAGAGAGGACAGGCTCTGCCAGGTGAGACAGGCGACAGCGCCTTCCCGCTCAGCCCAGCCGGCGGTGCTGTGACTCCCGGGCCACCTCGGCGGGCAGCTTTATCTAGGCGACAGCGGCCTGCTTCCCGGGAGCGGGAATATTATCAAGAACATGTTTTCCTTCAGACGTCTCACCTCTTTGACCAGAGAGCCGAGATAGAGGGCGGTGAGGGGCGTCTGCTCCGCAGGCTTCACGACGATGGTGTTGCCGCAGCACAGGGCGGGCGCCAGCTTCCACAGCAGCATCAGCAGGGGGAAGTTCCACTGCAACGGGGCACAGGGGCCTGTGGGGGACCCGCATCCCCCCCGCCACCCCGTTCCGGATGGCCAACAAGGCCTCCGCGGAGGATGCTTGATTTGCATGGTCTAGATTTGGGGTTTAAGGGGTAACATAGGAGTTTGCAGTGATCAGAATTGCATTCCAGCTTGGGGCTTGCTAAGTGCATTGTAGGAGATGCTAATACCTATTTTTTTTGCTAAGAGGACTGCACTGTACATGCACTATCTCCTCCTCTGGGAGGTTCTCCGCGCCATCAGCACGTTAAAGGCTCTGAAAAGTCCTGCAGGAATGAGACCCGCCTGTCCTCAACTCAGGTGCCACAAAAGCTTTTTATCTCCTTACAGAATACAAACGAATCCCCCAGGGAACAGGTGCTGGGCGAAATTCACTTTCTTGCCCTCTTTCAACTCCAGAAGCAAGGACACTGAAATCACTGAGACAGCAGCCTAACAAAAGCTGACGCCTCCCGGGGAATGTTCACTGTGTGCCAGGCGCTGTTCGAAGCACTTGACAAAACTTAACTCATCCGGTCCCTGCAAACCAGCATGAGACGGTCATCTGATCACTGCCACTCACAGACGGGAACCTCCTGCACCTGCCAGGCTGCCCAGGGAACGAAGTCCTGGACCCTCAGCTGCCAAGGCCCGCTACAAGCTGGGCCCACTCCTCCTGGCACAGGAGTCATCATCTTCTTCACTCTCCCCCCCATCTAAGCTCTGGTCCCACCCCCTGTCCCTCTACTGAAGTCGCCCAGCCACTTCCAGGCCTCTGCTCGGGCCATTCCTTCACTTGGAAGACCCTTTTCCCTGTTGAATATCCTTTCTTACCCTTCAAGGCCCAGCTATGAGACCCCTGCCCTAGGGGTGCTGGCCATTCCTGGCCCCTCCATTTGGAATTCCTGCTGCTCTCCTGGAGTTGTCCCCAGAGAGCAGGAAGGGGGTCTAATCCATCCTGATGACCCTCACGGGCCACGCTCCATGCCACAGAGTAAATGCTCAATTAATGTCGGCGAGAGACTATTAAAAATTGGCCCTAAGGGCCCCAAGGGGAAGGGGGTGCTGTGCACTTACGGGAATGATGGCCCCACACACACCTATGGGCTCGTGCCTGGTGAAACACACAACGTTGTCATCTGCAAGAGAGGTTACGTGGAGCAGAAGAAGACACGTTAATCTGGATGAAGATTTTTAAGTAGTCACAAGATAAGAAATTAACCCAGGAGCCCACAAAGATGCCCGTTCTGGGGGG